TCAGGCAAATGTGTGGGGGTCACAGCACAATGGGACATGTGGCAAGCTTGCCAATCAAGCTAAAAGCACATTATGTAACGCAATTGTTAGAGGTAGGAGTAGGTTTCACCCCTTCAGAGAAGAAAGCAGCAGCTTGTCACGGGGAAACCAGCTCCCGGCTACACTCCCCCACAGCCTCCTGTGAGTGACATGGCCGTTCCACAGCCCCTGGTGTCTGAAGTGTGGCTGGCCCTGAGTCAATGTTTATAGTCATTTTTAAGATCCTTGTTTTAGTTATGGTAGGTATTCATTTGAAGCTGTGTTCCCTTTCATTCGACTTTTATGGAGATATCACTCACACCATACCTTGTAGCTGCTTCAAGTATGCAATTCAATGGCTTGTTAAAGACATTCACTCAGTTGTATAACCAACATCAAAATCAATGTTGAAATGTTTTCATCATCCCTCCCCCCTTAAAAAACAAAAACAAACAAACAAAAAAAACCACCATACTCATTAGCTGTCACTGTCCACTTCTCTCCAAGCCCCCTAGCTCTAGGCAGCCACTAATCTACTTTCTGTCTACATGGATTTGCCTGTTCCGGATGTTTCATATAAATGAAATCATACATATGTGGTCTCTGTGACGCATTTATTTCACGTGGCATGCTGTTTTCAAGGATCATCCACATTGCAGCACATGTCAGTTCTTCATTCCTTTTTTATTACAGGTCTTGATTGTACGGATCTTATCTATCCATTCATTCGGTCCGTAGACACTTGAGTCACTCCTACTGTTTTGGCTGGTATGAATAATGCTGCTAGGAACATTCATGTGCAAGTTTTTATGTAGAAATAGGTTTTTTTTTTCTTTTTCTTTCTTTCTTTCTTTTTTTTTTTTTTTTTTTTTTTGCACATACAGCCAGAAGTGGAATTTCTAGATCATAGGGTGACTTTATGCTTAACTTTTTGAAGAACTGCCAAACTGTTTTCCTAAACAGTTACATCATTTCAAATTCCTACCATTAGTGTATGAGAGTTCTAATTTCTCCACAGCCTCACCAACACTACTCTCTGACTTTTTCACTATATCCCTCCGAATGGGTGTGAAGTGCTATCTTATTGTGGTACTGATTTGCACATTCCTGATGGCTAATGATGTTAAGAATCGCTTCATGTACTTATTTGTCACAAATGTTTTCTTTAAAGAAGTGTCTAACTTGCCGAAACCGATTTGGCTCAGTGGTAGAGCATCAGTCTGTGGACTGAAAGCTCCCAGGTTCGATTCCGATCAGGGGCATATACATTGATTGCAGGCACATCCCTGGTAAGGGGTGTGCAAGAGGCAGCTGGTCGGTGTTTCTCTCTCGACATTTCTAGCTCTCTATCTCTCTCCTTTCCTCTCTTTAAAAAAATCAATAAAATTAAAAAGTGTCTAACTCATATCTACCTTCCCATTTTTAATTGGGCTAATTGACTTTTTTATTATTGAGTTACAAGCGTTCTTTATATATTCTGGATACAAGTGCCTTGTGAGCTATATAACTTGCAAGTGTTTTTTCCTAATCTGTGGGTCTATCTCATTTTTTTTTTTAAGGACATGTGTGGTTAAAAACACTATTTTAGCTGAAATAGTCAAAGTAATCTTTTAGCGAATTTAGGGGAGGAAAATGAAGCACACATTCATCTAACCATTGATAATGAAAGCAGCAATGGTTAATTGGACACACACAGAGACAGACAGACAGACGCACGCCCACTCCCACGCCCACACGCCCTCAGACAGACGCATGCACACGCCCACACATACACCAGCACCCTCCTCTCATTCTCAGTAATAGATGCTCCACCTATTAGAACAGCATATGGATGTCTGGAAACAAAAGATGGCAATTTCTGAACCTCCCTTGCAACTAGGTGTAACCATACCACTCCATTTAGCCCAATGGTGTATAACCTCCAGACTGTTCCTACAATAAAAGATGATGCCGTGTGATGAATGGGAGCAGGCGATTAGGAAGGCCAACCGAGCACAACAGGGGGCAGCTGATCAGCCACTGCCTGACCACCTCTCGAGGCTTCCGGAACATGAGAAAACAATAAACTTTTACCTGATGCAAGCCACCTTGCTGTAGTTTTTCTGTTACACGGAATCAAATGTGATCTGAACTCATGCAACAAGTAAGTGAAAGCTCTGTATTTACATGCACACAAACCAAGGCAAGCTCAGGCTCCACGTTGCCATTTAGGAAGTATCGCTTATTGCAGGGGTGGGGAATGTCTGGCCCTTGAGCTGTATATGGCCTCCAAAATCATTTGGTCTGGCCCTGCCAAGGCATTAGGAGTGAGTTAACTAGACGTTTGACCAAATACAGCAGGCTCGTTTTTAATCTGCTCATTTTGTATGGCCCTCCTGATGTTATAAATATCCAAATGGCCCTTGGCAGAAAAAAGATTCCCTACCCAAGCCCATGTTACCCGACTTCTTTCCAACACAAGGAATAAAAAGCAGCAAAAATTAATACCAGAAGAGAAGACACAATATATTTAGAGTAAACATGTGCAATCAGCTGTGAAATCGCTATATGAAGATACCCAATAAGAACTCCGTACAAATCCCATCAGAAATCCACTCACAAGTCTCACATGCTCGAAAATGGGTTACCGTCACTTCCTTCAAGTAGAATGAACACAATGAAGCTCGGTGCTGTGTGTGGTCCAGAAGAAAAGGATGGTTGACTGACAGTTGCCTGACGGGACCTAATCCCAATTCTATCACTGCTAAACAACAATTCGATGTCATTTAATCCAGAACAAGTCTGGTGAATTCCCACCATACAAAAAGTACTGCATTTGGTTCTCCAGTACCAAATGATACTCAGATGTGGTACCCAACCGTATGGAATTCATGATCTAATAGACAAGGGACAAATTACCTTACTTCCCAGTAGTCCAAAGGCAGGGAATCAGGGAAAGAGTCAAAAAAAAAAAAAAACAAGAGCCTACTTCATTCAAACTTTTTATTAAATATGCCTTCGAAGCCCCAGAATTAGGGTAGAGACTTCCAAGCACAGACACTGCCTTCTCCAGATTTTTCTTGTCTTATATACACACAAAATTTTATTTGAAAAGAGGACTCCCTATCAACCAGTTTGAACCACTCAGATAAATCATCTCTAAGGTCTTACAAGGTATTATCTTCTCCCGATAACTCCACAGCGAGCCCAACTCAATCTCTGTGAGGGCTGAAGAGGTCACAATCATCCTAAGGATCATGGCTGATGATGAGCACTTGGTGTGATCATGGTTTTAGAGAAGACAGAGAGTTAAGCAAAAATAAAATAGATTGCATTAGAGCCATATATAGGAAGAACTAGAAGGAGCCTGCTTTCAAAACAAACCAGATTCACCTCCTGCAGCACATTTTCTAGTTGGCCTCACTGCTGACTCAGCTTCCTCGGTTACTCAGGACACATCAGGATTGCAAAGTAAAACTCGGGCCTGGGGCACAGAGGATAAGAGCTGGGGCTTGGAGGCAAAATGCGGGAGTGTCTCCACTCATTTCCTTCCTAGCTCCGTGACCTGGGGAGGTCAACTACGTTCTTCATATACAAGGTCCCCATTATCCAGGAGGAGGATAACGTCTGCCCGATTCAAAGAGAAAGGGCACAGAAGAATTCAGAACACCGTCTGGAACTTAGGAAGGGCGCAGCACGCGTTACTGTGGGTGTTTGCACACAGGAGTGGTGCTACGCAGCTGCAATCTCTTCTTGAAGTTTTGAATCAGTCCTCACTGGCTTTGAAATGTAACTTCTTTTGCTCATTCTCCTTCACTTTTTTAATCAATCCTGTCCTTCTCATGGTAGTGCCAACTGTATCCTGGTGCTTAAGGGCACATCTCTCTCTCTCTCCGGTCTCAGTTCATTTACTAGAAAGTGAAGCACAGCTCTCCCCTCTCCGCACCAACCCCACAGATTTAGTTGTATTAGTATCATCGAAAGGAAGAGGAAGCATGAGCTATTTTTGTATTATTAGGTCCTGACCTGAAATAAACTTTTGCTTTAAAAAAAAAACACACTCATATGTAAAACTTTGATGATACAAATATGCAATGGCCCTATCTGAGCACCACTGTTTCCAAAACCAGGGCTTGTAGTGGGCCGTCATGCTGTCCACCGTGAAAAGAAAACAAAGCAAAACCCAGGACTACAATGTCCCTCGGTGCCTCCGGAGGACACAGAAATAAATGCCAGACACAAAGTGATAGCAGCAGGTGAATTTTTTCTTCCTTCCTTCTCTCTGGCAAAGGTTCTTTCAAACAGAAAGTCATACCATAAGAAAAATACAGTAATCTTTTAACAGAGTATCTAAGACCCTCCCTCACATATACAGCATAGACACTGAAAATTCCCACACACAACAAAGAACACTGTTCTGTGCGAACAGTCACCAGCACCTCTATTTAGCTTTGCCACCCACTTCCTTACTTTTCCCCATTATTCCTTTAGTGCAACATCTATAATGAAAGGCCAAGGTTATTTTTTTTAAATATATTTTTATTGATTTCAGAGAAGGGAGAGGGAGAGAGAGAAACAGAGAAACATCAATGATGAGAGAGAGTCATTGATCGGCTATCTCCTGCACGCCCCCTACTGGGGATGGAGCCTGCAACCCGGGCATGTGCCCTTGACCAGAATCAAACCCCTGACCCTTCAGTCCATAGGCTGTCACTCTGTCCACTGAGCCAAACCAGCCAGGGCCCAATATTATTTTTTTTTTTTAAGTGACAACACTGCTTAGGATGACTCCAAATGTCAGCCACGATCGAGCTATCTCTCTGCGGCTAAATGCAGAGACCGACTAACAGCTCACAGTGAGGAACACTTCGGCGGGGACATGTCACAGATAACATTCTCTTCAGATCCTGGGAATCTCAGTTGCCATTTATCTCTATATTTTTTTAAATCATTTTTTTTTTCAAATGGTTCTTTTCAGAAGTCTAATAATTCCAGTCACTTACCGGTCAGCAACTTCTACGTCAAAACAGAATCTTCTGTCTATGGAGTCTGTGTGCCTCTTGGTACATTCTCTCAGGAAGAACACCTCGCCATCCCCCTGCAAAGAATCGTTTGAAACATTCTCAGAAACCACAGCACAAACCTATGCACACTGAGGCACCCTGGATTGGGAGCCGGGAGAGAGAGAGAAAGACTTTAAGTCTCTTTATCCTACATATTATCTTCCAATCTAGTTTCCTTTTAGAATTTTAACCGCATTTGTCCTCCTTTCCTTGGGGGTTTCTAGATCCTGGTTTGGTGACGACATCATTGAGTAAGACCTCAGAAGGTCTCATTTTAAGAGCTCCATGAACAAAACATTTTCCGCATGCTAGAATATGTATTACTCTCTTGTTGTATTCTTTTAAAAAGAAGAATAGTGCATTTTATTGCCTAGTAGAGTATACCATGTAAAATAGTATGTCACCATTTTGACCTATAAAAATTTGATTCTAACTACGTGAACTTGGGAGTCCACTTAAGTTCTCTATGTCCCAGATCCCCATCATAAAGGGGAAAGGATAACATCTCCCTGAGAGAGGTGTGGTAATGATTACATGAGAAAAAGCGCAATAAGAATTCAGAACAGCCGAAACCGGTTTGGCTCAGTGGACTGAAAGGTCTCAGGTTCAATTCCGGTCAAGGGCATGTACCTGGGTTGTGGGCACAACCCCAGTAGGGAGTGTGCAGGAGGTAGCTGATCGATGTTTCTCTCTCATCGATGTTTCTACCCTGTTTCCCCGAAAATAAGACAGTGTCTTATATTAATTTTTCTCCCAAAGTTGCGCTAGGTCTTATTTTCAGGGGATGTCTTTTCTTTCCATGCGCTAGGTCTTATTTTCAGAGGATGTCTTATTTTTCGGGGAAACATGGCAGCTCTCTATCCCTCTTCCTTCCTCTTTGTAAAAAATCAATAAAATATATTAAATAAAAAAATTAAAAAAAAAAAAAAAAGAATTCAGAACAGTCTGGAACTTACCTAAAAGTACACAAAGGGCCCTAGATTAGCAATCCGGGTCATCTAAAGCTGGAACCACTCAATCTACATGGTTTTCCTGTTTCCTAGGTGAACATCCTGAATTTTATCTTTTCTTAATTTTTTTATGGTACTTGTTTACCTCCCTAACCCATCCTCTCTAAAAGCATTAAAAAGAGGCAATGCAGGAATGCAGGTCCTGGGTGAAGAACTGTGAGAAGTTGGGCTACTCCTAGAACATGGTACCATTTTCTAGACTAAGAATCTCCAGATAATATTCAACAAACATTCAAATATACAAATATTCAAAATGTCACAGTCACTATTGATAGAATGTATTTTTTTTTTGTGTTGTTATTTGGTGGCTAAAACAGGCATCCCTCAGCAGATAGGACCTAGGACTTGCGTTAGCTCTGAAAGGAAACTCAGACTCACCTCTGGCCCCATCCTCACCCCATCAGCCTTGGATAGGGGCATACTCACTGCCTCCTCTTGTCCATAAACCTGATTTTCCATGTCTGTGTCATGACTACAGAAATGTGTTCATTTTCTAAGCCACCTGAGCTCTTCTTTTTCATAGGTTAGCTCTGCAGTCACATAAGCAAAAGTATTCCTGTCCACCCAGCAAACAAAATGTGTCACCAATGATGTTCAACGGCCCCTGAACACTGCTCTGAGCTGCCACTTCTACTGAAAACACAAATAGAGATCACCTTCCCCCCACAGCCAGCGCCGGGCCTTCCTGCTCTTCTCCTGCATTATGAGGTTTTGTCGTTCCTTCCTATGGGAAGAGGAAACTAAGGGTCCTCCCTAAGTAAGAACCTGGAAAGTCTGAGGGAAACATAGTGAAATTCATTACAGAACACCCCCTGTTATCATGTCTCAGGGATACACGTGCTCAGTCAGATCTGCGTGTAAACACTGTGATGACAACTTGTGGCAGGTGCGAGGTTTATCTTCCAACAACAGTGACGTGAGAGCATTCTACTCTCTCTCAAAAACACAGTACATCTGACCACAGACATCCATGCAGCCAAGTAAAAAAACCATGAAGTGTTGTTCCCTGGCCTATTTTACTTAGGAACACACACACACATGCACACAAACAAAAAAATACAAAAAAAAAAAACAAAAAAAAACACACAAACACATTTTAATCCTAAAAAATAAAATGTATTCGCCAACAGTGAAGATGAACGTCATTGAAGCGACACGTCAAAGACTCCCTCCACAGAACAGAGTGTGACATCAGATACTTACCAGTTTCCCACCGGATCTGTGCTCAAACGGGATCATGTTGAACTTCTTGGCCGCCTTCCGATACATGCAGTAGTGTTTGACCCAGCTGGACCCGAATGGGGCAGGCCCTGACACAAGAAATAGGAAAATAGAACTTTCAATGTTTCCTCGGAAACAAGCAAACGTGCAGAGCTCCACATTACTAAAGAGGAAAAACCCAGTAAGCCGCAGGTAAGACAGCTCAAGGAAACAAACCAGCAAAAAAAAGGAAAAAGGGGAAGGAGGGAGGGAGGGAGGGAGAGAGAGAAGGAGGGAGGGAGGGAGAGAGAGATGGTATTAGGAGAGTAGGGGAAAGAAGACCCCCACCAGAGCCTGGTGCAGAACTCAGGGGTGGGCCCGAAAGCCAGAGCTCACAGACCCCTCCCTGGAGCAGGAATGCGTTTCCCAAAAAAACGCAGATACACCTTCTAGATGGGAAGAGGCAAGGTGGTAGGAACAATCATTCCAAAAACACAGTCATTACAATAACAAGTTTTAAAACAATTCCTTAAGGAGTCGCCCCTCCCTGCTGGCGGCCTCTTACTTTTCTCCTGCACATACAGGTAGCCTTCGGCCGTGAACTGGCTGGCGCGCTTGTGGTCCTTGGGGTTCTGTCGGATTTTGTTCATAAGCTCTTCCACTTCCGATCTCGTTCCTTCAAAACGATTCCGAGTCTGAAATGGATAAAAAGCACAGGCATGTTTTAAGTTCTTACACGAGTTTTTTTGTTTGTTTTTTCATGTATATATTTAAGTCTCTGCATAACTATAATTAAATTTGTAGCATTTTTCTATAAGTTTCTCATAATGTACCCAGTCTTTCCAGTGTGCCTCTTTGTTAAGAAAAGGAGAAAGGGGTGGTGGTAAAATAACAAATCAAAGTAACCAGAGATTACTTACTTGAGAAGCTTACTAACACCAAGAATAATTCTATTACTCAACATGAGAATCCCTGCATCCACGTCTCACGATTCTACTAAATCTTAGCGTTTGTCACAATGCAGGTCATAAAGCATCGATCCTGGAAGTCTTTGCTTCACAACAATCAACCTGACTCCTTATCACCACTATACTAACAACACGTCCAAGTGCTCAGAACCTGAAAAGCTTCCTTCTTTTAAAGATAAATATGAGTGCCGTTTCTTCCAGGTTAAGGCAACTGCACTTGAAAATGACATTTCTCCTCAGAAATGGGGGAGGGGAGCGGGGAATCTCACCTACAAATAATGTCTCCTGTAGCTGAGGGGACAAATCTCATTTCTGAACCCAATACCTCTGCCAAGCAGCTGCACAAACAAAGCACACGAAGGGGAGGGACAGCATTTCCAAGGTGACTGAGGAGTCAGCACCAGCTCGTGTCTGGCTGGGCCTCGCTCTCGTCCACACTCACAAATAACTGTATTAGTTCGAAAAACTGCCGAGCGAAGAATTACTATTGAAATTCCTCCTCTCACCTTCCTATAATGAAAGAGGTCACCAAGGGTCCTAAGAGCAGAAAAACGGAAGAATGTAGACATTTTTAGGGGGGTGGGGAGTCTGACAGACATGGTTGTCACGGGGAAACGGGTCTGCAGAGAAATGCAATAAGGTGGTGAAGGCCTGGGGTGGGGCAGGAACCGAGGAGGGGAGAGGGAACAATGACATTGGTAATACTCTGGATAATCAAGATAAATAAAAGAAAAACAAATAAAGTACAAAAAAAATAAAAGATCTGGGAATGTGTTACAAGAACTTACAAGGCTGCAAAGTGGGTGGGGCTCATGTGTGAAGGGCCATTTCCCATCCTCCTGAATCCAGGGTTTCTTATCTCAACCTGACCACACCCTGACTTTATTCGCCTTCATCACTTTGCTGGGATTTCTTGCGACACTCACTTCTTTCCATCTCTGTTTTATACATAGACATATATATACACACACACACACATATATATGTGCATACCACATATATGTACAGACGTGAGCATACACACACACATTACTTGCATTATTTATGTTCAAATGGTCCTGGATTTGACCTGTGTCTTTTGACATGCTCCCTAATTCTCTGAGAGATCCATCCTTTCTGACCCAAGGAGCCCCGGCTGTATATCCTTAAACTGTTTTTAACCATTCTTCCTATCTTCTAGGGACTCTTCATGAAACCTAAAATTTCTCAAGTTGTACCTTCCTCCAAGAATTCTATTCTACTCTCCTTCCCCATATTTCCCTGGGGAAAGAGATCACAGAAATGTAAAGTTGATTTTTTAAAATATGCTTTAAATTTTTATGAAATTTACATTCGTGTGCATAATCTTTTTATTATTTTAAATTTTTTATGGTTATTAATCCTTGCCCAAGGATATTTTTCCCACTGGATTTTAGAGAGAGTGGAAGAGAGGGAGAGGGGTGACGGGGAGAGAGAGAGAGAGAGAGAGAGAGAGAGAGAGAGAGAGAGAGAGAGAGAGAGAGAGAGAGAGAGAGAGATAAGGAGACATCAATGTGAGAGAGACACATGGATTGGTTGCCTCCTGAACACGCCCCGACCTGAATGGGGAATGAACCTGCAACCCATATATGTGACCCAGACGAGGAATCAAACCTGGAACCTTCAGTGTGAGGGCCAGCACTGTAACCACTGAGCATACCAGCCAGGGACACATAATCTATTTTCTAAAAGCCATCTGCTCTTTTTTGCTTTCCATTTATTATTCATGGAAAATAAAGACTTAATCTCTCTAACAAAACAAACAAACAAAAAAACAATCAAAGCATTTTATAGAAAAAGTGAATCAAATTGGAGAAAATAGGTTGTTTTGCCTTTTAAATAACTTTTATCTTTTTTCTGATTATAAAATAGTATTGCTATTTTTATTATTGTAAAATACTAAAAAGTTGGCCGAGATTAACTATAATGTTATATCACACAGGTAGCTAAGTCTAAGATTTGTTTTTAACATGTGCATGTATTTCCTTAAGTACATAAGTATATACAGCAAAGAAAATAACACAACTGGGATTTTTGTGTAGCAATTTGGAGTTTTCCCTTTAATATGCTAAAAGCTGACATGATTAGGAAATGAAATGAATGGCCAAGATATGAGTAAGTCTCATCCAGGCCAGCCCTGCATCTGACAAATGAGGTCCAGAGAGGAAAAAAATGAATTTCTACAAGTTATACAGCCAGTTAGTGGAGGAGACAAAAGAAATCAGGATTATAATCTATTCTTCTAAACCAACTATGCAATGTTCTTTTTACAACACTGTGTTCTGCTGTCTGAAGAAGTTTTCTGAAAAATCACAGTATCATTAGTCTAAACATTCTAGCACCTACGGAGATCATTAAATTAGGACTAACCTATACATATACATTTTATATTTTTAAAAACTCTATTGCATAAAAGAATGCTAGGGAAAATGGAACTTACTCTCTTAATCATTTAATGCAGCTGAATGTGTAAACAATCTATACACACACATTAACACAAATTACAAAACACAAGAGATTTCATTGTCTACGTTCCTAAGTGTAGGGAACTATACAGGAAAAAAAAAAAAAAGTAGAAACCAAATCTAAACAAAAACCTTTCATCCTCAGTTTCTAAGACTTTAAGAAATTGAAAGCCAGGCAGCAAACATCACAGAGACTCCTACCCTTCAACCTGTATGCCTCTGATTACGTGCTAACAGTCTGTCCAGAAGCTCTCTCGCCATGTGGTTAACAAGGCCTCCAGTTACACTAAATAGAACCTGAATGGCTTGTCCACAAGGACACGTCCAATTTCGACTTAAATATTGAGAGAATCAACATCTAACCACCTGATCAAAATCACACATATTGTACTGCTTAACAGATAAAGTTCTCCTACTACAAGCATATGTTTTCCAGGAAAATAACAAAGCAAACAGCCACCGTGAACCCAAACTATTAGTGAATAGGCTTGCCACACAGGAAAGAAGTTCCTCATGTGCCCTAAGTCCGCCTTGGAATAAAATCCAGCTAACATTTACACAGGTTAGAGAGGAGCAACTTAGATCCTTATCACTGAAATGCCTTCACGCTACAGCGAAGTGCTCTATGCGTTGCACACAGAGGGCTCAGGGCTGCGTAACCAAGGCTCTCCTTAGGATGACCCCCCAGAGTGTGGGGTGACTTCAGTTAACACTGCTCTCAGATATATGTAAATGGTTGGTAGGAGAGGAGATCCTAAAAAGTTCTCACCCCAAGGGGAAAAAAATATATATATATATTTTGGTAGCTATATGAGGTAACATACTAACTAAACTTATCGTGGTAATCATTTTGCCATGTATGGAAGTCAAGTGTTTTGTACATCTTAAACTTACAGTGTTGTCTGGAAATTATATCTCAATAAAACTGGAAAAAATAAAGCATACTTGGTGTCTTTTAAGGGAAAAAAATGGAAAAATAAATTGCATGAATTTTTTTTTAAAAAAAGAGCCACTAGGTGGCAGAATTCCCTGAGCCTCACCCAGTTAAGATAGGTTTGTTATGCTCATTGACCAGAAGGTGGCAGTGCAGCCTCAGTTTCTCAATACCAACAGATCAGGCTGATCTTGGGTTTAAGATTTTGCGTGTAACAAACAACGGATCAAAAGCGCACATCTCTCACATCTTCTAAGACCAGAAAGCTTTCATTTCCTTACGTTCTGAATGTTGATCTGCAGTTCCATTTTGTAGTGATTAAAGTCTTTGGCAAGTTCATGGCCCTGATGATAGAAAGTAAACATTCCCTGAAAAAATGACAGCATCTAGGACAAAAAAAAAAGGAAGAGTGACATTAGCACCAAAAAACTCAGGAGGAAAAAAAATAAAAATAAAAACAGCCACGTATTTTCCCCTTATCTCACGGTGATTCTAATGAAGTAAAATAATTAAAAGTAAATCACTCGAATTCAATTAAATCCAAATGTATGTTATTTAATTTGCCCTTTAAAAAAATAATTTGTGATTTTTTCCCCCCTTAATTATCGAAGCCATGAGACAGGCAGTTTTTATAGTATAACGTGTAGGAAAAAAAAAAAAAGTTCTATATCCACTTGTTCTTTTTAGTAGAGAATATTGCTCTATTTGTTTATCATTGAAACTTTATCATTGTAGGTTGACAGAATCTATATAGAAAGTGAAATCAGAGAATCAAAGCGCTAAATGGCAGTCAGGGTAGTGCAATCTGTCCTGTCAATAAGGACTTTCAGTCGCTGGGCAGAGAGGGGCAGAGAGGGCAGTAATTAAGCCCTGGGTCTCCCACCAACTCTCCACCTGACCCTCTCCATTAGAAGGCAGTCGCTCTTGCCCCACATGTGAGTGAGTAAAATTTAAGTAAGCAAAAGGGATTTGGGGTGAGAGTTGAGGAAATCTTGAAATCCGTTTTCTTCAGAATGTCACGTGGTGAACAGTTAGGAATTTGGGACTCTGACCTCCGGTAGCCACGAGGGGTCAAGTCCCAACTTCGGCGCCCTTAAGTGACCTTGGCCAAAGTACTGAAACCGACTCTACTTCCATCTGCTTATTTGCTAAGTGAGATTATAAACATATCTCCTCATTGAGTCATCCTGTGGAATAAAACTGCAGGAACACAGGAAAGGACTTAGAACACTGAGCTGAACAATGAGCACTGTAAATGCTCAGTAAATGCCGTGCATTATCTCAGATGAAAAGAAAGCTCTAAGAAAAAAAAAATTTTTCTCTAATTTAGGTTAATTCTATTACTCCACCTGGACCATACCTCCCATGAATGCCAATTTTTCGTCAATCATTACTTCATTTTGTTTGTTTGTTTCTCAAAAGTATTATATATACACAACGGATAAATTGTAAGGCAAATGAAATTATACTGTACCAAGGAAGCTGTTTTAAAAAGAAATCAGGCACTATATTAAAATTAATATTGTCAATCAAATTCTAGTGTTTCTTAATTTTTTTTGCTAAAACCCACAGAATGAAATACAGCTTACATTTTACTCAGAATATAAATATATTCATGATAACCTTTAATATATACAGAACTGAAGCTATTATAATATCTATAATAATAAAAGTGTAATATGCTAATTAGACCAGATGACCTTCGACGACCTTCCGGATGAAGCCGGGGCTGCGAGGGAAGCCCGGGTCCCGGGTGAGAGCAGCTGGGGAAGGAAGGCCTACTCTTGCACCAATTTTGTGCATCGGGCCTCTTGCATCTATATAAGCACAAACAAAAATCATGTGTTTCTAAAATAGGTGTAAAGCAGTCTCAGGAAAACTCACAAAGTAGTTTTTCAAATGTTCCACACGCTGGTTTTTAACTTAGGTTGGCATTAGCGTTGGGACTTGTCTGAGAAATCATCTTTTATCAGTGATTGTTGAAAGTACCCAAGTCTGGACTGGTGTACTTGCTGTATTAACCAGCTTGAGTAGAGTGAGTATTATCCCTCACACTCACATTCCAGTATCATTTCTCTCACTGGGGCTTTCATTCAGGGAGGAACTGCCCCTCACGGCAGCATCCTAGAGACCACGCAGCGAAAGAAATGACACCCATTGCACGCTGCTGCGCAGGCGAGGCTAAGGACCACTGACTGATGTGTCGGTGACTCGTTCCTTGACCTCACGGCTGGGTGTCCACCCTGTACAGTGTGTGGGGCCTTGCTTCACAGGTGTGCGCTGCAGCCTCTAGAAACCATACATGAGCGCTGAAACAAAAAACCATTTCCGTCACACCACAAAAACCCAGCAGGACAACCGGCTACAGTACTCACAGGCTCCACGAATTCAAACTTCTTCCTTTCTTGGATTTCCTGCAGCTTACACACATATTCGAGAGACAGTTCGTAAAAATGCTGCCGGTTCTGCTCCACTTGGACGTCTGCCTGCATTCAAGTAACGGAGGCTGGTCAAGTTAGAGGCAGTGAGGAGTGAAACTCTGGATCACAAGTCAGCAAAACCACAGCCCACAGGCCAAGGATGGCCCGTGGCCTGCTTTTTCTCAGTGCAGGAGTGAGGCATGTGGATCTGGGTTAGAAACACACAAGGCAGTAAGAAGACCAAATACAAAGGCCTTGCACAGAATCCACCTGTCCCAGTCCAGCCAGAGCCAGGCAGTCATGTGGGGGCTGAGCACAGGTTGGGTGGGAGGGAGCTGTGGGAAGGGATTGGAGAAGAGGAACCACAGGAAGGTTCACTCAGCTTGTCCTATGGAAAACAGACTGTAGGAATACATTGGTGGAATGAGGAGGACCATGTAAGAGGCTTCTGCAGAAATCTGCTGAGAGATGCCGGCAGCTGCACCAGGGTGGTTCTGAGTATATTCTGCAACTAAAGAAGACAGGCTAGCAGGCTGGGTGTGGAGGTAAGGGAGAAGGTAAGGGAGGTAAGGGAGAAGGCCAAGGATGACTCTAAAGATTTTGTCTAAGCAATGTTTAGAAGGAGATACCTAATTCGATAGTGCAGTGGAAATGGAAATAAACTTGGGGCATGAAAATCCCTTCAGGATACCTGAAAACAAAAATAAGGGGAGAAGGGAGGCAGCATAAAGAGAACCTATAAAAACAACAGCTGTCACTTCAAAATGGACAGAGGGCAGGGGTGTGGTTATCTATGAGACAAGCAGAGAATGAGGGGAGCCCTACCTGCCCAGTACAGTATTGTAGTTCGGATTAAGTGACATAAAAGCTCCTTTCTCTGTTCCAAACTGTCAAATGCCACCCAAATGTCAGTCAAAGGTATTAAAGGGACAAAAGGGTGACATGTGGATAAGGTCAAAATGAATGCACACAATTTCCAACTACATGCTGCTGTTTAAAAATAACCCAGGTTTGTACTAGAGTTCATGTTGCTAGTGCCTTTTTTACGCTCCCTCAATGCGTGTGTATTGTAGCGGTAAATTATGTCAGATTCCTTATGTGTTTAAAAATGAACAAATGAAGAAGGAAAAAAATCACACTTTTGTAGGATGAGCCAAGAGCCTAACAGCTGCATATAGGATTGTTTTTAAGGAAAGCATATGTTCCAAATGGAAAACCATTGCGTTTGTATTCAAGTGTGCGAGAGAGAGAAAAAAAGTGGCAGGAAATTTAGAAAAGAGAACGAGAAAATGAGAGATAAGATACAAATTCCTTTCTCCTTACGTACAACTCCCTCAAAAAAAAAAAAGAAAAAACAATGAGTCTATTAACAAAAGGAAAACAGATGTTCTCCTTCTAATGAAATGGAACCTCCTGAATCTTCCGCATTAAATAAGATTAATGCTGCGTTCACATAAGAGCAAAATGGCCTCTGAGCTTGTTCAATTTATTTCATTTCTTCAAGAAATCTTGAAAGCTATTCAGTGACTCAATTCCTGAAAATAATGTAACTGTTGACCTCTAATGTTCTTTAAAACTGTTCCTGTGAATATATACTGAGAACCCAAGATTGTAATACTATGAATCCACACTGGATTGATCACTGTAAGATGCATTAATTACTCTGTGTTTTGTTCCACAAGAACTCCTTTTCCTTCACTCAGGGATGTACATGTTCATTTTTTTCCATCTCCAATATCCTACATGGAAAGTTTTTTAAGTTACATGCATCAAAAGGTTGATATAATAGGTTATCCAGTAGGGGGCACATAGGAAGCAACTGATCTACCTTTCCCTCACATGAATGTTTCTTTCTTCCTCTCTCTCTCTTTCCCTCTCTCTCTCTCTCTCTCTCTCTCTCTCTCTCTCTCTCTCTCTCTCTCTCTCTCTCTCTCTCCCTCCTCTCCCTCTCCCTCTCCCTCTCCTCCCACTCCCTCCTGCTCCTTCCTTCTCTCTCTAAAATCAATAAAAATATTTTTTAAAGTTTTTAAAATAAAAACACCTTTAAAAAAAAGTTATACAAATAATATATAGTGACGGAAGGAGGCCTGACTGAATACACAATGCAATATACAGGTAATGTTACAGAATTGTACACTTGAAATTTATATAATCTCATTAATAAATGTTACCCCCAATAAAATTAATAAAGCTTTTAAAAATACATGCACTGCTTATTCAAATTTAGATATGAATGAGTAGAAAAGTAAAACCAATACCTCTTGCAAATGTGAGTCTTTCTTTTTTGCTGATAAATTCAAATGTTTATCAATTAGGCTGTAGTTCTTCTCTGTCTCTTTGTCAAACTTCTTTTTTTCTTCCTACAAATCAGAAAAACACAGACAACTATGATTGAACGGGAAAGAAATGCATGCACGTAGTAAATTCGCAGGGAAGTTCAAAATATGAAAAATAATCTGAAAGTAAAAGAAGTGCCACTGAGAGTGAAGTTATCTGAAAAAAATCTATCTGTATCAGACCACTGATTATTCATCAACAAGACAGCATTAGCCAAAACCGGTTTGGCTCAGTGGATAGAGCGTTGGTCTGCGGACTAAGAGGTCCCAAGTTCGATTCCAGTCAAGGGCATGTACCTTGGTTGGCTCAGTCCCCAGTAGGGGGCGTGCAGGAAGCAGCCAATCAATGATTCTCTGTAATCACTGATGTTTCTATCTCTCTCTCCCTCGCTCTTCCTTCCTCTTTGAAATCAATAAAAACATTTTTTAAAAGCAAACTTGATATAGATTATGGCACAGAAATGGAATTCACTTAAAACTGAGTTTTTTCTCTATATTAATAATAATCACCTGGGGTGGGGAAGTTCTCCCTAATTGTCTCCAGTATGGATATAACAATAAGATCCTCTAACCAGAAATGCCATCGACTTTCCTAACCCCAGCAATGACTTTTAGAACACTATCTGAAGGGCCTGTGGTTAATGTTACAAACATCTCTCTGATACTGTCTAGAACTAGCATTTGCTTTCTTTTGCTATAGAAGCTCTTTGAGAAAACAAGTAATCAACATTTTAATCAATCGAGGGGAAAAAACTATCTCCCCTCACACTGCTTGCCAACTTAAGCAGATTTTTAAATAAATATTTCTGAGCACCAATGAGAGCACGCTATGTCCTCATGCTGTCAAAATGTTTCCACTAACTGCAAGCTCCCCCGGACTCTTCAGTGCCTCCTGGAAAGGAACATTCTCTTCCCTGTTTTCCAACTTCCCCTTTCTAAAGCCAAAAGAATGAACCAGTCCAGCCCTTTCTGGTATGGTCTTTCTCGGAGTAGGCAAGGGGCCTGAATAAAGCACATACAATCTATCTCTTCGCATTGATCTTTTTTTTTTCTCACTATGTGGGGACTACAAACTGCTCCGGTGGGACCCTAGGTCAGGAGCTCCCAGCTCAGCTGAAGAACCTAAACTGATGGATAAGAGACAGACTCAGGAACTGAAGTTTCTTCCTATTCCTCCTCCTAGTTTCATTACAAATGAGCTACACAACTTCACACACACAGTTCCACCACAGAACCTTGTTTTTCTTCTCAAGAACAACAGAAAGTATTTCTTGCACTAGCTCACTCAGATCCAATCCTAGCATTCCGTATCCTATGACGGACCCATGTGTACGAATAAACTTTTGTTGAAATAGCAGCACTTTTTCTTTATACCCTAGGGCCGGGTCGGCATGAGGCTTGTTGGCCCCTTGAGTGTGGCTCTTCCACAAAATACCATAGCCTGGCCGAAACCAGTTTGGCTCAGTGGATAGAGCTTCAGCCTATGGACTGAAAGATCCTGGATTCGATTCCAGTCAAGGGCATGTACCTTGGTTGCGGGCACATCCCCAGTTGGGGGTGTGCAAGAGGCAGCTGATCAATGATTCTCTCTCATCGATGTTTCTAACTCTCTATCCCTCTCTCTTCCTCTCTGTAAAAAATCAATAAAATATATATATTTTTTTAAAAAAAAATACCACAGCCTGGGCGAGTCTATTTTGAAAAAGTGGTGTTAGAAGAAGTTTAAGTTTAAAAAAATTGGCTCTCAAAAGAAATTTCAATCATTGTACTGTTGATATTTGGCTCTGTTAACTAATGAGTTTGCTGACCACTGCCCTAGGGTTAATGTAAAGCCATTTTTTCTTAAGTTTAAGGCATGAACTGTCTTCTGCTTTTCATGATTATATTCTTCCTCAACTATCGTAGTAACAGAAAAAATAAAGTAAAACAAAAATGTGTCCATTATTTCAAAATCTACACTATTTTAAAAAGCTGATATAGCCCTGGCCAGGTAGCTCAGTTGATCAGAGCATGGATCCAGTATACCAAGGTTACAGGTGCAATTCCCGGTCTGGACACATATAAGAAGCAACCAATGAATGCAGAAATAATTAGAACAACAAATCTCTCTCTTTCTCTCTCCCTTCTTCCCTCCCTCTCTTTCTCCTTTCCTCCTTTCCTCCCTCCTTCTTCCTCTCTCTCAAATAAATCAATTTCAAAAGTAAATAAAAATTAAAGAAAAAAAAAAAAGCTGATATCGTACAGGACACCCTGGATGGTGTGTCAGGAGACTCAAGTTCTAGTCATGGCCACATAGGACTCTAACTGCCCGGAGTCCCAGCATTCTCGGAGCATGTTTGCATAGTTTAAAGAGAGCAGGAATGGAAGCCATGCAGCTGCATTTCCAACAAGAACCCTAGGGCAGTGGTCAGCAAACTCATTAGTTAACAGAGCCAAATATCAACAGTACAATGATTGAAATTTCTTCCTGCATCTGTTCTATTGCAATGCAAGGTCACCAAGTAAAAAAGGTTCACTATCTTTGCAGATTACTTCTGACCAGGAATGTGGAGAACATTTCTACTCATGATTTCTTCTGAATCACAGCATGGGACAAAAGAAGGAATGATGCTAAAATCAGCATCAAAACACCCAGCACACTCAGCAACAATGGGGGATGGAACTTAACACGTGGGTCAAGTTTGGAATGAAAGAATAGGGTGATATCAAGGCTTTGTTCCGTGGTGATATCAAGCCACGGAACAACATTACACCATCCACTGAGAATGCAAATACATTCATTCACACAGACTATGGTATTATACAAACACTGCTGTGTTATTGTAAGACTTACATAATTATTTCTTCCTGCATCTGTTCTTAACGCCCTCTAGAGCATTATTATTTCTTTGTGCTCATATAACTTTTTGTGCTGAAACAATATGAATATTTCTTTAACACTGCAATATAGGCTATACATACATATGTGTATGGATTATACATATATATAATATACTAGAGGCCCAGTGCACAAAATTTGTACACAGGTAGGGTCCCTAGGCCTGGCTGGGCGATCAGGGCCAAATGGGTCTTCCAGCTGCCCCCTGGTGGTCAGCTCGTGTCATAGCAAGCAAGCAAACTCCTGAGGGAACAATTTGCATATTAGGCATAGATGGATGATAGATAATTGCATAACATAAGACAAAAGGCTCTATCAAATTAAATACAAATAAAAACTTTTCTATAAAACTGCATTACAAACTCAAGTACTAACATAATAATATAGGTTGGGTAGCAATATAATGAATAAAGCAAGCTGGAAGAGGAAGTCATTAAGGCGGTTGGGGCAGTGGCAAACCAGAAAGCCTATCTGCTCCAGAGGGGAAGGCTGCCACCACAGCTCCAGCACATCCTGCCTCACGGGAATGTAGGCCCAGTCTCAAGGGCATCCTCTGACTTTTTCTGGAAGAGCTGAAACACCCAGTGTTTTTTAAATAGTGGTAACAAATTTAAGTTTTTCACATGAGTAAGCCAAACAAAATTATGTTCACAGGTTAAATATAACTAATAATTAATGGTAAGTCAGCTTGTAATCACTAATAAAATCTCACATGCAAAAGAAAATAGTGAAGAGCTATTACTTAAAATTGGTCAAATAAGATACACACTGTGTAACTGGTAAAGAGAATTCATAACACTAAGAACCACAATTTTAAACAACCAGATATTCTGAATACATCAGAAATTATAAATATGTGTATGTATATACATATAAAGGTGTCATCACAAATCACTGAGCATACACACACACACACACACACACACACACACACACACATATATATATACCCACACACATATGTGTGTGTGTGTGTATTTAATTTTATTCAACCAATGGCACTAGAGTAACTGGCTAACTGCTGTCTGGAAACAGAATGAGAATCATATCTCATATCAAAATTAATTCCAGATGGGATGAATGAGTCACAATAAAAAATGAAGTCATAAAAAAAAAAGAGTATTTTCACAGACATCAGAAAACAGAAGGGCCTTCTAAGCCAAAAAGCAATAGAAGAAGCCTTTGCAAATAGCATTTAAATAAGTTCTATTATCAATATAAGTTTAGCTCTGGCTGTGTACCAAAAGTTCACCTATTGGGTTCCTGTCAGGGCACATACCTAGGTTGTAGGTTCATTTCTCAGTCAGGGTGCATACAGGAGGCAACCAATCAATGTTTCTCTCTCACACCAATGTTTCTCCCTCTCTCTTCCTCTCTTTACCTCTCTAAAATGTATTTAAAATAATAGTAAGTTTTGCTGTACCCATGTAGAAGCCACATTTTCATTACCTGATTGCCTGAAAATATGGAGGAGCAATTTTAAATTCTCCCACTGCTACTCTTATCGAGTTCTGGTATTTCCCCGTGTTCTTATATCTCTACTTGGCTTCTATGTGGTTTGGTGCCTGTATTCGTTTCCTGCGCCTAAGTCAGCTATTGACAGTGCAGTGTGAACACTGGGGAATAAGTGTCACCGAGGGAGGTGACATCGCTTCAGAGGAGGCAAGAGCTGAGCTAGGCCATGAGGGACACTGACCAGCAACCTGCTGTGACACAGCAGAGACCCCCAATGGGGCTTTTTCAATGGAGACGAGAATAAGAAAATGCAGCAGAATCTACAGAGTGAAGGGAAAAGCCCAACGTAAAGTTGACTGAAGGAGCATATAGCCATAGAGAAAAGCAAACAGTAGAAAAGATACCTTGGGGCTTTTAAAAAATCCAATTCACAAAACCACCTAGCAGTTTAGATGACGGAAAAACCACAAGCTAAACACCTAATAGGGATTGTAGAAATTGGAGAAAAGAGTAAACAGAACTGAAAGAGCTTTGAGATGAAGGCGAAGGGTAGGGCAGTACCAGATGGGGAAAAGGAGAAAAGAGAAGATAAACATTTTGTCATTCACACCCAAAAAAATTCTGCTGTGGTCAACTTTTAAAGACTTTTTTTTTAAATCCCCACATGAAAAATGCCTTATGCTATTTCAAATAAGATCCTTAATCTAAGAGAATCAGTTGTGTGTGTGTGTGTGTGTGTGTGTGTGTGTGTGTGTGTGTTTTCTTAAGTACCCCAGGTAAGTAGATAAACCAGTGGAACAAGACCAATGTGCTTGTCAAAATATGATTGCATGTTTAGGAAGCAGGGATGTAGAAAATAACCAAATGCCCTGATTACAAAGCTTTCTAGAATTTTCAGTAGAATTGGTTATTATTCAGTAGAATTGGTTACAGAGTAAGACAGAGTAGAGGCTACTAGAAAACAAAGAATAAAGCATAGTATTTTCTCTTCAAGATTTGGGAATCTGATAAAAGGGGCAAATGTTTATCTATTACAAGAACATCACCATTCTCTATTCTTTATTGTAATATATAAGATAGCTGGTAAAACAAACAAACAAAAAGGCTTCTGCCTATGACCTACAGTGACTGGCCTGCTCAAAGAGAACATCAATAGGTGTAACAGTCAACAAACATACTGTACAGCACAAGAAGGTAAGATGGGTCCTTCATACACTTGAAGCTGAAAGAACAATGAGGAAATAAAAGAGGGAGACTTTGGGATAGAATTCGGCCACTAACCAGCTCCAGGCATAAACCAAAACTATTAAAATAATCTCTCCTTTTCATATGGCAGTTCATTTTGCAATTGCTTTATAGGCTATACTCTGAGCTAGAAGCTGGGGACATTTGACGGAGAGGAGTCAACAGAAAATCCAAGGTGAGGAATTTAGGAAAACCCAGCAGTTATTATAGGAAATAAAAAGGAAATATATTTAAATCACAATCATGTTTCATTTCCAGAACATAATCCTTGCCATACAACTACCATCATTCCAGTAAAATGAGAAAAATAATAAATGGACATTTTTTTTGCATTCAATACCTACCAGTGAAATGTTGAAAGAGAAAATAACTAAGACATTCAAGTTTTAAAATATTCTAAGAAGACAAGATCATAAAACCGATAATAAAGCTACAAAACAGAGCAATCAGAGCCCCCAAGTCCATCAGGTTACAGATCAGAAACTAGAGCCCAGTACTTGTCCCAGGCTCAGGTGGGAAACCAGACCTCCAGTGACCTGCTACAAAGCCAGAGAACACAATTCAGCTTCCGGAACTCAGCTAAGGACCCCAGGAAGGGAAATTGGGGGGGCACCCTCCCTGACCTCGCCTCAAAACACAGCGTAGCCCCGGCCGGGTGGCTCAGTTGGTTGGAGCATCATCTTGTACACCAAAAAGGTTGCAGGTTCGATTCCTGGTCAGGGCACATACCTAGGTTGCAGGTTCAATCCCCAGTAGGGGTATGTATGGGAGGTAACTGATCAATATTTGTCTCTTTCCCTTCCTCGTTCCTCCTCCTTCTCTTCCTCTCTAAAATCAATAACCATATACTTGAACGAGAATTAAAGAATATAGACATCCTAAGAACTGTAAAATACTATACCGAAAAGAAATACAGTTTAACAAATGGCTTAAAAGAAAACTGATTCCATAAATAGCAACTAAATACTTGGTGCTCTGTGGGCTCATCTGCGTAGCTACAGCAACTGAGGCCTTGATGTTAATGTGTGTGTGTGTGTGTGTGTGTGTGTGTGTGTGTGTGTGTGTGTTTAATAGCATTTTTAAGAAGATAAGGAAAGCCAAAACCGGTTTGGCTCAATGGATAGAGCGTCAGCTTGGGAATTGAGGGGTTCCGGGTTCGATTTCAATCAAGGGCATGTACCTTGGTTGTGGGCATATCCCCAGTGGGGGGTGTGCAAGAGGCAACTGATCAATGATTCTCTCTCATTGATTTTTCTCTCTCTTTCTCTCTCCCTTCCTCTCTGTACAAAATCAATAAAATATATTTTTTTTTTAAAAAGAAGAAGATAAGGAAAAACACTTCACATACCTAAGCCCATGGAGGAGGGGGAGGGACAAGATCCCAACATAAAAACTCTCTTTCCTGCCTAAAACTGATGTTATTCTCTTCTTCTTGGGCCAAGTAAAAAATTGTTTACCACACCCAGAATATTACTTTTTCTCCCTCCAGTACATGGCACAAAATTCAGAGGAAAGGTTAGTGGAATTTATTTCTCTGGGATCATCTCAAAGCAGGGCTCTAAGGAAAACTTTACTAGTTGCTAAATATATCCAGGCCCCCTGTGGCAACATCATCCATTATTCCCGGAAATCCTGGCTCGCTCCTCCATTCCTGAGCGCCCTGTGGTTTGCTCATCCTGGACACCCAGCTCCGAAGCTCACTAAACGGAAGGAAATCACATCCCCATAGCCTAAGGGCCTCTTCCTAGTTTCAATGGCCTCGTGGTGCAGCCCAGTTCCTAAATCGCTCTCTAACCCGCTGCAATGCTCCTCTCCTCCATACAGGGCTAGGCACTTCCTCTCGGGATAAATGTGTAGTTTGGTTCAAGACCGTCTTAAAACCCTATATGGAAGAGTGAAGCCCAAGAAGATTATTAGAGGCTTCATGGTTCTGTCCATGTTTTTTGTTTTGTTTTTCATTTCATATCTCCCCCCACCCCCACCCCCAACACACCTCAAGGGGAAAAAGCACATTAAAAACATAAAACAGATGGTTTCTCCCAGCAGCTCCTTCAAAGCTGCCAAGCGTGAGTAAAGGGCACACCGAGGCACAGAGGCGTGGACGCTGTCTGCTTGCAAGCGCACTCCAATTTAGACACCAACCTTTACAGCTCCCAGTTGCTCTTTCCTGAATTTTTCCAAGGGTTTAATCAGGGTTTCAGTTACACTCAATGCCTAGAGAACAAGAGTGATAACAAAGAACATCAGATTAGTTTTCCCAAAAGGAAAAAGTCAGCACTGCATTTCCCCTCTCCCATCCCACCCAGAGCTAACATGAACAACACCTTTAGGGCTTTATCTGGCCCTGCCAATACAGTCACGGAATCACGACTACATGTATGAACACACTGGGTTCTCCACAAATATTTTCTGGGAAGAGGAGGTGGGGCACCACACCAGGGGCCAGGGAAATGCGCCACCCAGTCCCACAGAGCTCTGGGAAATAGTGGGAAATAGTGGGAGGGCTGTCTTTACATAACAAAGGGGTCCATCACTTCCATTAACAGAACGCTTCTGTTTAAGGGGTTCCCCCCCCCCTCAGAAATGTCAAAGTCAACTTGATGACTTATCAGAATACATTAGGTTAAGGGCTTGGTTTGTGGCTGCAAAGTCTCAATATGCTCCATCTGCCCTTCACAGCTGAAAATTCCTCCTGAGGATTCCAGGTGCCAGAGAAGCAGCGCCCCTCGAGCTCAGGAGTCAGTAAACAGTGGGCGTGTTGGCACACAGCACAGGAGGGGAGACTGACAAGACACAAGCAGCCACACAGACTCCAACCGCAGCCACACTCACTCTTACGTTGGATGGGGGGGGGGGGGGGGGGGGGGCTTTCCATGTGAAGACAGAAATGCAAATAAAGGAACCATTTATCCAAGGAGACCAGAGATATACAGAATAGAAAAAGGAATCTCAAAACATGTTACAATAATGTGCCACCTCTATTATTACCCCAAACAAAGGCCCCTAAAAATTCAAACTAAAAAGTCACAGGGGAAAAAAAAAAATACATGGCTTAGAATAGGAAAGGATATTTTTTAAAATCTTCACTGATTTTAGAGGGAGAGGAAGGGAAAGAGAAAAAGAAAAATCAATCAGTTGCCTCCTATTCACACACCCTCACCAGGGATCAAACCTGCAACCTGAGTATGTGCCCTGACTGGGAATTGAAACCATGACCTCTTGGTATATGGAACAATGTTCCAACCAAGTGAAACTTTATTTATTTTATTTTTTTGAGAGCTACTGTCTTTTTTATTTTTTTTTAAATTTCTTTATTGATTATGGTGTCACATAATTGTCCTCATCCCCCCATTCCTATCCCAAACCCCTCCCCATGTATGCCCACCCCCTGTTGTCCATGAACTCTCCAAGTGAAGCTTTAAGCACAGGTTCATTCGCTATGTTTCACTGTGTAAGGGTTTCTCCCAAAGAGGCCATGCATACTGTGTGGTAGGGAATCCTCTCGATGCCCAGAGTTTGAACTCTCTTCCCCTGCCTTGTCGTGGACAAAATAACCATCTGGGAGCATCTCCCTTCGCTTCGCTTCCCTTCATGAAACCTGCAGACCCACTGTGCTGGCGCTTGTTTTCTCCTGATGTCCCACTGCAGGGAATGAAGGGTATGTTCTCCTAGGACAGTTCAACACTGGTGCCTGCTCAGCACCCCATTTCCCCCCCCCCCACTTTAGACATGTCGAGCCATGACTTTTGGTTCACATGGTCCTTTAGAGGTGCTCTCATCTCTTAAAAGCTGATCCATCTTAAATCCCTCTTAAAACTCAGAAGAGACACTCCCTCACGTGACCTTGTGTTCCCTTTCAGCAGACATCTCTCTGTTCTGTCTTCACGAACAGCATTCTGAAGGGTTATTGCGACAAAGGTCTCACTTTTTGGTCATTAACTACCTGCATGTTAGTTCTTTCTTAGATATTGCTAAGATCTCATTCCTTCTTTAATTTATCCTCAGCTCACAGTTACACTCCTTTCTTCCTTCACCCAGTGCTATGATGGCTTGCTTCAATCTCCACTGCTGGGGATTGGAACTAAGCTCCCCTGTCCTGACGGAACGTTGGGTCCTTTTCCTTCTGTTCTCTACCCATCCTATGGCCTGTGGCCTTCCATAACTTCAAACGCATCCTCTGCGGGTGTCTTCCAGCTGTGTATCTCTGATCCGCACTTCTTTTTCAGGCTGGGGACCTGTCTCTGTTTCACTAATCTTTTGGGTATCTCTCCGAGAGCTTGAGCATGGGACAAAGTTTGAGAAGAGAGGAGAATGAAGGGAGAATCATTACAAACAGTGGCCAGAGCACTTCCTACAGAACCATGAACATTCCTGAGCGGGATGGCTGGCCCTTGGAGACAGGAGAGCAGGAGTTTCTAAAGACATTCATCTGCCTCATTGTGAGAACCTTCTTTAGCCATGCAGGGAGACGATGGGTGATTTAGTGCATCTTGCGTGAGAGTATTACCAAGAGAGTGAACACACCAGCATAATATGACACTGTATGCACAATGCTGGCAAGCTGCATGGAGGAGGCGCCTGAGTAAGAGAAGACTTCCTGAAGGGGAAAATGCAGAGCTGGGCCAAAACAGGGCACAGAAGTTCTCCACGAAAGGGTAGGGGTACAAAGAGAGGGGGAAACAGCAATTTTAGGGCATGAGACTACAAGCAGCTCAGTGTCACTAAAGCAGCTGAAGAAGTCCAGAGTCAGGATCAGGTGGGCACCTCGGAAATGCTCAGAAAATGCTAATGTAGGCATCAATAACATGGTATATGAAGGGCTTTTTAAAATGTGAACCCTAGCCCTGGCTGGGAGGTTCAGTTGGTTGGAGCATCGCTCTCTATACCAAAAGGTGGCAGGTTTGATTCCCCATCAGGGCACATACCTAGGCTGCAGTTGGATCCCTGGTTGGGGTAAGTATGAGAAGCAGCCAGTCAATATTTCTATCTCATCTCCCTCTCCTTCTCCCTCCCCCTCTCCCTCTACTTCCCCCTACTCCTCCCCCCTACCTCTCCCCCCCTCTTTCCCCCACCCTTCTTATCTCTAAAAAAACAAAAATCAATACAAACATCTCCTCTGGTGAGAATTTTTTAAAATGTGAATACTAAAACTCCATACTCTGTCCTTCAAAAAGAATACAAGATTATACAAGAGCAATATTTAGGTCATTATATTTTCTTTCCACTTGGAGAATTAATGTGATGCAATATCTAACTTCCCGGGGCTAACACTAGTGTGGGAAAAGAATATAAGGGGGGTTGTGTCTTATTGTTTGTGGGTCAGTAAGCAAATTTTCAAAATAGGAAAGTCGTAGCTGTGTCAGATAACACTATATCCAATTCTTCAACAACAACAACATAAAAAAAAAGAACATTTAACATAGAATTCATTAGCATTTTTCTTGAAGAAAGTCTAACTGTGTAACTTGTGAACTGAACTTTAAGCATTCTATTCAGGAACAAAATAATGTAGCTAGTAATGCTTCAGTAAGGCAATGTGGGTTGCACAATAAGGATTGTTTTCTGGAATCTCTCACTTCCTTTTATAATCTCAGAGAAGTATTGGATAATATTTGTTAGTAACAAGTGTCACTGAAGTTTTCTAATGCCGAGACAGGATTCTTCATCCCCAGAAACAAATGAATACCACACACAGCTACCCCTGAAACTCTGAAGGCAAATTTCTGCTGATGACAGTTTCCCAATGTGAGAGACAGCTGAAGTAATGGTGTTGGGAAAAGCTTTCCAAACCAGCATATGAGAAATCAATCCGGTAATTTAAAGTGAGAGAAGGCAAATATAGAATGTGATTTAAAAATATACATATACAGTTACATCACCATATTTTTTTCTCATAAAATATTGGAACCAGCCGCAGAGAAAAGGAAGTTATGGAAAGCCTTTGCTAATGAGCTCTGGAGAGGGTTCTGGGTAGTCTGGCTTACAAACGGAATGTATCCACACAGACAGAAAACATGTGAATTAATCAGTTGCTCTCACCTTGGAGGAGGGGTCAGCCAACTTTTTCTAAAAGGCCAGGTGGTAATTAACGTAGACTTGGCCACCACATGGCCTCAGCTACAACTCCCCAATCCTGCTGTTCCAGCACAAAAGCAGTCATGCACAGTACAAAAGTGAATGAGCGTAGCTGTGTTGCAACTAAATTTCATTTACAAAAACAAGAAGGGTGATGGCTTTGGCCCATGGGCCACAGTTGACTGAGCCCTGCATGAGAGAATCATCTTGAGTACAGAGGCCTAAGATGTTCTACTTACTCTTATCTGATGGCATATTTTTAATATACATTTAAATATTTAATATACCAAGTTTACAGGGAACCAAAAGTTGGGAGCAAAGGTTGAGATACTGGATGAGAGAGAATCACAGTTCTACTAGCTCTCAAGCTGAAAAGAAAGATTCCAAAGTAGTGCCATAGAATTTGCCTGGGACAAGCAATCTGTCGTTTCAATGCAGAAAGACTCAAATGTAAAAAGTTATCTTAACAGTTTATGTGAACGTAATAGAGCCTTAATAGGAGATTTAATTCCTGAAGATTTGTGTTAACTGACATTTAGCGTGTGCCAATGTCGTCATAAGCTGGCCTGGAAGAAAATGAACACATACATACATCGGTTACATATTTGAATCCAAACAAGGTAATCATTCGATTGTGTGCCATTAGATCACAGTTTATTGCAAAGGTATGCCTGCCACATTTTCAGAGGGACAATTTCTAAATGGGGCAAAGCAGGAATGTGACTAGAATACTAACAAGGTATACGAGTAGGTAGGAAAACCACAGGTGTTTGATGGGACTGGGGATAAAAGAATATTTAGAGGAACTATGAAAGCTGTCTTTCGATATTTAAATGAGTACTGCCAGAAGAAGTAAAAATCACTTTGATTTGCTTGAAGAGGACATACACGGGTCCAATGGGAAGAAGCTATCGAACAAACCTGGGTTTACTCTCAAGAGGAACTCACTAAGACCAACCAGGGACCATGCAGTGCGGTGACCTACAGCATAAACAAGTGGAAGCTAGATGACCAATGTCCAAGGACGCTCTGCAACAGACTGCTGCACTGAGAGAAGGCTGGCCTGAGACCTCCGAGGTCCTGTCCCTCTCTCTGATTGCAGGATTCTGAATCCCTGGGAGAAGTGGAAGTACAAAGTA